AGTATGGTGGCATCCTGGGGCTACAGCATCCCCTTACCACCAAAGCCGAAACTCACTGGGTCTGTGCAGGATCCTCAGTGCATCTCTTGCTGTCCAAACCTGTGGTTAAACCCCCATCCCAACCCCTCCCCACTGGGATGCTGGCGGGCTGCCCTTCCCTTCCACTCTCCCAGACAGAGAGCACAGCCCTGGGAATGCCAGGCAGGCTGAGTAAAAAGCGATTTAACATGCACCTCACTGTCTGCCTGCCAAGAGCATTGGATGGGTATCTGTGCTCCACAGGACATGCTGGCCCTGTGCTCCTCTCCATAACTCCTCATCCTGGTTAGCAGGTTCAAACTTACTTGGCCTCTTTTTGCCTACTTTTGGGAGAGAAATGGGTGTTGCATGGTCAGCCTCAGCCTCTCAGAGGCAGAAAAGCCCTGTCCTGCCCAAACAGAAGGGACCAGCCACCCCAGCCCCAAGGGCATCATGGTACAGCCCTTCACGCACCCAAAGTGATCTGCCAGTGTTTGTCTGCAGCTCTGCCCTTTTTGCTATCCAGTTCACCACTGGCCTTATCCCAGCAGGACTCTGAGACCTCAAGGAACAGGCAGAATTTCCAGCCAGGTGAACTTTTCCCATCTGCTGAAACCATAAATCTGTGGCCCAATCACGAGACTTGGGATTTTCCAGCTCTCCAGCTAATGCCATAAATTGGCTGAACAACCTTATCTGCTCCAGCCTACATCTTCCAGAGTGGATGAAAAACCAGCCAGCCCTCCTGGCCACCCCACACGGGATTCAAGCATCCCTCAAAAAGCCAAGGACCATCCCCAGTCAAACGGATAAGCTCTACCAGGTGCACTGCACGGGAGGTGGCTGAAAAGTCACGCCAGGGCCCCTTCCAAGCAGCCTAACCACAGAAAACACCCCGTGAGAAGGTGCCAGGCAGCGGGAGAAGTTTTGTTTAACAGCTCTATAAAACAAGCTGAGACAACCCCTATGCGCGGGCCCCTGCCTGGGGAGCAAAGTGCTGACTCAGGCGTCCTCTCGTGCCCCAGGGTGCCACTGCTTGCCGAGAAAATGGCCTCGCTGGGCTTAAAAGTTAAGCCCTACACTTCAAAGCATCCACACACTATGTGCATAGGGATGTCTCCAGCCACTCGAGCACATCCCGTTCCCTCTAGGGTTCATTTGCTGTGGCAAGGTACATCAGCCATGAATGCCTGGGATGCCCCATCTTGGAGAACAGCAAAAATCTGGCTGCTTTGGTGCTAGGCTTGGCCTAGCGAGCTGAACCAGCTCCTGGAGCTCAGATTGACCCTGGGGACAGCACGGGGGCTGCACAACTGGACCTGGGGAGGGACAAGAGGGGAGAAGACAGCTCCTTCAAGGACAGCAGCCCTATCCTCACACTGTGCTCTGAGCAACAACATTGATGTCCATGGGGTAGCGCTTAACTTCTCACTTAATCCCTCCATCCCATAGTGCTGGTACCAACAAACCAGCATTAAATCCACCCTGTAAATCTTGGTGTGATCTCAAAAGCTCAGTGCCGCTCCGTTGCCTGCCTCCTGACCGGCCAAGCAGCTTTCCCTCCACAGGGTCCCTACCCGGAGGATGGACATTTTGCTCCAAGGAGCCATGTGATGCCTTGGAAGCTCCTCTGCATTTTTCTGCTGCTCCAAGCCATCGTCAGGAGGCCAGCAGCTGAATGGGAATATTTGCTTCTTGCTTAAGGGCTTTGTTGAATCCAGGACGGCCACGTGCCAGCCAGGGCAATTAGTGAGAAGGGTGGAAGGTCTCAGACCTGCTTATCAAGGTGGGAGGTAACACTGATGCTCCTGCCTCTGACAACACTTTGGGAGTGACCTTTGAGTGCAAACATGCCTGGCTCAAGCGGAGAAGGCAGCACTTGGAATTCTGAGTTTTGAAGGCAGAATAGCTTTACTGGCTTCCAGCCTAAAATAAGTCACAAGTGACAGTGAGAGAGACCGACCCCCAAAGGAACCCTGTGAGCTGCAATGCAGAAAACTGATGCCAAGCCAAAAAAAATCATTTGGAAGAGAACATGGGAGCAGGTTTCCCTGCTTCCTCACAGGGAGAGGGGTGGGAAAGCACGAGACTCCAGGGAATTCATACAACTGGAGCCCTCTTGGCACATCCCTACACAAAGAGGGTCCCTTGCCCAGGCATTCATGAAGTATCTAAAAAGCTCTGAAGAGCCTTATCCTGAATGTTGTGCTTCCCTTCTCCTCATGCTGGTCTGAGCCCCACTGTGAGCTCCACCATGGCCACAGGCTCCCCCTTTGTGAGGTCCCCTTGAGTTGAGGGGATTCTAATCCTAAGCACCTTGGCATGGATTAAGCATCACACCATGGTTTAGTGTGATGATGTTGCACTGGATCCCACTTGGGAAGGCAACAGACCAATCTATCTCTTGGATGCACCAGCAGCACTGGCAGAGGGACCATGTGCCAGTGTTAGGTTTTTCCCCCAGCCTGGTGGTCCCAGGTGAGGGAGAAGAAATTATCTGGATTCTTATGAATGACAGAAGTTTTTGGAACTGTTTCCCTGTTACTTTGAAGGCAGTTAGTGCTTCCACTTAGCTTCACCCTGTCTCCACTGGCAAAGTATCTTGAGATACCCAGCTTGGGGCTGGGGTCACTGATGGTGAGACCACCCATCACAGCTCCTATCTCTGCCTGAGCTTGGAGCATGAGCTCTGTCCACGAGGGCTGCAGGTGCTTCTTCCACCCATCTCCCAGTGTCCGGCATGCTCCGGAGCAGCTCTGCATGTCTTGGTAACCACAGCTCCTTACAGGGCAACAGACAGTCCCATCTCCTGCTGAGATCACTGCTCAAACCCTGTTCCCACCCTCAATACACAACATACCACAACCTCTGTCTCTGGGACGCTGAGGACATATCAGGAGAGAGACTAAAGTCCTTTCAGAGTCAGCAAACAGGCATGAACAAACTTGAGTTGAGAAATAAACTACCTTTAACCACAGACCCTCTGCCTGACCTCATGGACCTTCAAATTTGCCTACTAGCAACGTGACGAGGAAAACTGCTGTGCTGTGCTTCAATAAACCCCCTGTCTGCTGTCTTCCTTTCCTGTGAGCACTAATCCTTCAGCTGGAAATCATTGCCTAAACTTAAGAGGTCTATTTTTCTTCCCTGCTTCACTGTTCCCAGGTCGGCTGGTAGCAGAAAGAGGCAGCAGTTGTCGTGGAGGGGAGAGGAAGACAAAGGGTACAAAGGGAGTGAAGGGCTTGTTCCTGTAAGGACCACTGTTTAGCTGTCCCAGTCTCTCAAGCATCTCTCTCATGCTCTCCAGCCCAGGACGAAACATCACCAGCATTTCTCAAGTCAAATATGAGGCTGGCTTCTTACCCTGCTGTGCAAAACAGCTGAGCTGGCTTGTGGACAGGGGAGGGATGTAATGTGGGAACGTGCATACGGCTTCAATTTGAAAAGTGGCTAAAAATAGCTCCACGAGGCTCCCACGTTCACTGAGTCTCTCCGGCAAGAGATCAATCTTTTCCAGAGAGTCCTGTAAAAGTTTTCCTCCTCTATTCTCATCTTGCTTTTTTTTCTGGAAGCAGCAGAGATGTAGTTTACACCGGTCCTTCAACCACCATCAGTAGGTTTCAGAGTTAATCACTAGTACCCGAGGGCATGGCTCACCCTTCCCAGAACCACCAGTTTGGCTCCAGACCTGTGTCTACCCCACGTGAGCCACAACGTGACTTGACAAAGGACACAGTCATGTTTTTCTGGTGGTTTCTTTTTTTCTTTACCAGATTTTTTGGGGCATGAGTCACCGTAAAAAGCCCCAGCTTGCTGAGCTGCTGCGAGCCAGTCCCACCACACCACTGGCTGGCTTCTGGGAAAGCTGGGCCTGCCAGCCAAGGCTCATCCTGCCAGAGCCAGAGGGAAAAAGTTGAGGTGGCCATGGTATGGGAGAGTTTTTAAATGGGACCTTGCCCAGACTCACTACTGCTCTAGTCATGCTGCTTCCCTAACATAGCCTGGGGTCAATTCCCTGCCAAGGGTGGCTCAACCCAGGGGCTGTGCTGACTGGGGAGAGGAGAGAGGACACTACAAGTGGGATGTTGTTTCTGTGATGAATCCAGTAACAAACCACTGCCCAAGCAGGTATAACTCAACACCTGGCTTGGCTTAGCAGATTTTGTGAACTCTGCATGCGTTATACTCCCACTGCAGGGATGATGGGACCCCCTTATCAGTATCTGGTACACCCCTCCACCTTTGGATGGAGAGGTAGCTCTCTTCTCCCACAAGTGTATGGCTTGTATCTCATGCTCTTACCCTGTTCATTTTGATGCTACATCTCTGAAAGCAAGGGAGGAAAATCCAGGGTCCTGCCAGCAACTTGCACTAACCTCCTTACTGATTTCTTCATCTTGCCTCAACTGCAAATCCTGTTATTTCCCAGCAAGTTGAGGAACTGATATCCCCTGCCCCAGATTTCATTGCATTAAAGATGATTCCCTGCCAGCTGCCATAGTGCTTGGCATTCCAACCACCAAGACATTTGCCTCTCCAGCCTCCACAACCCTTGGCTTTCCAGCCTCTGCCACAGCTCCTTATAAAGCTGAAGCAGACCCTATCAACTCTGTGCATTGAAACACATGTCTTTGGATGGGCAAGGATCTCACTGAGCTGGCTGGAGGGATTCACTTGGCTTGGCACTCTGAGTGCAAGCCTGTCTTCATGCTCCAGCTGGTCTAGTTGCTTCTTAACGAAACAGGCTCTGACAACACTGTTTAATAAGGAGCCACTTTGCCTCCGGGGATGGGAGAGAGAAATATGGTGCCTTGACATGTGAAAGGCAAATCCCGTTTGTTCTGAAACCGCTTGTTGGAGAGCGAGGGAAGAAGGTTGAGGAAATGGTTTTGGCTCCAAGGGACCATGGTGCTTGGGCTGCTCAACCCTGTCACACCCATCCCACCCATCAGAGAGGTGCTCTGGTGGTGGGGTGCTCTGACCTGATAATGAAGGCTCCTCTGGTCTCCAGGAGTTTCCGCTCACTGCTGAAGCGCTTGAGCAGGTTGATCATGAACTTGTAGAAGTAGGAGTTCATGGTGGGGGTGGAGGGTGAGCACTCCAAGCCTTTCACACCTGGGGAGGCAAGGGGAAAGCAAATTAGAGCAGCCAGGGCCCTCCTGACAAAGCCTTGATCAGAGAGCAGGCACCCAAAACATGACCACAGCACTCAGCAGAGGAAGGCTGGGGCATGAAAAGATTCCAAGCCTCATATAACCACATCTGCTTGTTCCAAGCAGAGCCAGCCCTGCTGCAGCTCTCTCCAGCCCAGGGGAAAGCACCTTCTGATGGCCCGAGCCCTGGAAGCAGCACCTAGGGGCGAAATGGACTTTTTGGGAGTTCATCTCAGAGCTGTTCATCTTCAGTAGTTGGTAGGTGAAGGGACACCTGAGGCTCTAAATAAAGGCAATCCCTTCTCCTCGGATATGGCACGTACACTCATCCCAAACCAACCAGACTGTTGGCAAGTCAAAGAGCTTGTAATCCAACCCCACAGGCCACAGATGCCCTGAGCCCAGCATGCACATAGTGGCAGACACACACACTCAGCCCTGGGTCACGGCACGGCCACCAGTTTACACTCGGTGATGTGATTTGACCCTGAGCAGGAGCCACTCAGTGCAACATGCCTCAGGGCTAGTAAAAGTACTGGTCAAACCATGGCAGACCTTGAGGCTTAGGGCCTGTACTGGTCTGAGACTGTTTGAAGGGTGGGCAGGCAAAGGGGCAGCTCCGAGCTCAGGGAAATATCCTTCCAACCCACAAGAGCAGGGAGCTGGCAGGTAAAGATTGCTTTTCCCACAGTGAAACCCCAGGGGAGATGGTTTATTTAGTAGGATGGTGCTCTAAGCAAATGTTTGGAGAGAGCATTTCAAAGGCGACTTTGCAACAAGGGGAGCTCTCTCCCTTAATTTCTCCTTTGGAAAGACCGTGTCTAACTGTGGTAAGGAGGGAAGCCAGCACACACAGAGCTATTCCCCCCAGTATTTCCATCAGATAACCGACGGAAACCTGAACAGTTTGATTTATGGATGTTGTCTGCTTCTATGGACACTCAGCAGAGCATGGAGCAGCCAATTAAAGATGCAATTAAGCTGCCAAATCCCAAGAAAGCTGATGGAAAAGCCACTGGGCTGTTTTCCACCCTGCCTCTCCCAGTGATACACAGAAGTACAGGCAGGGCGGCTTCCCCAGGTTTGGATTTAGCATCTAAGAGAACACACAGAGCCAAAGAAAAACGAAAATGAAATTTGAGGTCATGCTGACCAGAGGCTGATGTCCTCTCCCTGCTGGAGCTGCATGTTGTTCACCCACCCCTTGGTATATCTGAAACCCCAAACCAGGCTTTGAAGCAGGCATCTCCCAGAGCACAAGTGTTCTCCATCGCATCATGTTTCCCCTCAGCTGTGGGGAAGATGATCTGGGCAAAAAAAATAAAAGAATCTAGCTGAGCCGATGAGCTTTAACTGAAAAAAAAAGGATCTAGCTGAGTTGATGTGCTCCAAAACAAAGGTGTGTTTGTTTGAGGGCAGGGAGTACCCGGCGTGAAAATACAGCCGTGCCCCACGTGCTGCCACTACAGCTGCTCAGCACTGCTCAAAAGAGAGAAGAGACATGATCTGGAGTGACATGGGGCAGCTATGCCTTCCCACCAAGCCCTGCTTTTCTTTCTAGTGGGAAGGGAGGCAAAGAGCAGACGACAACCATCTTTCAAAGTTGCAACAGTGATATTTTTGCCTGTTTTCTCAGCAATGCCAAGGCATCCAAAACTGGCTGTGCTGCAACCCAAGAGCCAGCACCAGGCAGGATATCATACCTTCATCCCCACCAGCTAGCAATGTCCCAGAGCTGTAGCTTGTCCAGGGTAGGGTCTGATCTTGGCATTTCTCCCTTCTCAAGACCCCAGAAATAGTCCCTCTGAGCCCCACAGCACCATGGATGGCACTGCTACTGAGGCTGGTCCCTCTTGGCAGGAGCACTGGGAGCAGCTCCTGCCCAGTGCTCCCTCCACATGGCAAAGCCAGCTTACTACCTCCCTGCCACCTCACATGCCTTCCAGCCCAAACATTACATACCCTAGAACACATCCCAAATGAAAAAACAGGCAGCAATTTTTTTCTCTTTCCTGAAAGGTCCAGCACTTGTGCTGTGCATAGTACAAAGCCCAAGGAGCTGTGTGGCTGTGAATGTTGGTGCGAGACCGACCAGCCAAAAGCACTCCCAGATCCCTGCTCTGAGGTGGTGCAGCATCTCCTGCATCTCCAACTGGAGCCTGAGAAGGACCTGCTGGGTCGGCTGAGTATCCAAAAGACAGAACTGCCTTGGAGATCAGATCCTGGCTGCAGTCTGCAGGACCTTCAGTCCTGCTGTTTTTTTCCATCGACAGGCTCCTGAACCTCTGACCCTTCTGCTCAGCTTGGAGGAAGCTGGACAGTGGGTCAGGAAGCTGGGAGGAAGGAGGGACTAGAATACAGAGATGGTGAAAACAAGTCTTTGCCCTGCTTTTCTTAGGAGTAGAAAATGTGATGTGACAGTTTGTCCACCCCAGGGAGCTTCTTCACCATCCTTTGCCTCTGGGAGCACTGAGACTGAACTCCAGAGGGATCACTTCTCCATCCCTCACCCACACAGTGCCCAGCAGCTATGCCTGCATGTCCCTAAAGAAGGTTTCCACCATAGCACGTGGTGCTGAAGCAGCCTTGCCAGTGCTCTCCAGAAGTAGTGCTGGGGGCGAGAAACCCGTGTGTAGGAGTTTGCCAGGCTGCAAAAGGCTCAACCAAATCTACGCTGGAGTTTAACCAGGCAGAACTTCCAAGCAGGCAAAGCAGTTCTCTTCCAAAGCCTCCAAATCCTCCAAACTTCCCGTTTGTTCTGTTTACAGGATGTCTAGGAAGCGGCTGGCACCTTGTTTGCCATGGTGTAACCCTTCCTGGCGTAGCCCGGAGCTCAGCACAGGGCTCGCTGCCCCGCGGGTTACAGCTCAGCACAGTGGCATTCCCAGCTCAACAGAACTGCAGAAGCAGCTTGTTGAGTGTTTCTACAAAGCACGAGAGACAAGCAGAGAGAAGTGTTAAGAAAACTGTGGCATAATTAATTGAAGCTTGCACCTCTCCCCCTTCCCCTGAAGCAAGACTTTGCAGATCCGTAACCTGCCAGATCGGCTGTTAGCGTAGCTGGGGCTGGTGGCACGTCACAGCTCTGCTGCCTGTTTTTTCAATCTGGCATGGAGGAGGGAGCTGGAAGAAGAAAGATCCTGCTCAGAGGAATGATGAAACTCATACCAGATACCCACTATAATCGGAACAAATGAGAATTTTGGGCTCACAGGAACATCAGAGTAGTGAAGCAAGACAAAAGGCATACGGGAATTGCAGCTCCATGGCTGCAATGAGCCCACACCAGCCTGAACCCTTATCATTGAATCACAGAAGGGACCTTAAAGCTCACCTAGTTCCAATGCCCTGCCATGGGCAGGGACACCTCCCATTAGACCGAGTTGCTCCAAGCTCCATCCAACCTGGCTTTGAACACTTCCAGGGATGGAGCAGCCACAGCTGTTCTGGACAACCTGTGCTGGTGCCTCACCACCCTCACAATAAAGAATTTCTTCCTAATATCTAAGCTAAACATATCCTCTGTCAGTTTACCACCATTACCCCTTGTCCTATCAATGACTACAGCATCCTCCTGCAGCCTAGAATGCCAGGCTCACAAATCCTTTCCCTGGTTTCCTTTCACAGCCTGGGGTAGAGCCAGGGCCACAAATGGGCTTTTTGAATCACCTATGCCAGCACCAGCATCTGTCCCCCCCACCCAGGGGTGCCAGCTAGAGTGGAGCACAGTGGATGCCTTTCGAACCCGTCGGTGCATCCCTGAGCACTCACCGTCGGTTCACACTGTTCCCATCGCTTACGTGGCCATGCTATAAATCAACCGAGACAGGCAATTAGGGATCTATATTAAGGCCCTTATAAATATATATTGTACATCAGCCTGGAACATTCAAGCTGTCTGGCTGCTCGATGGGCTGAGCTGTCTCGAGACCTACAGTGGGCCAAAGTGTCCCCAAATTGCTCTGGGGGAACCTGGCAGACTTTGATACAAACTTGAATTTTCCTATCTCAGCCACAAAGTGCTGAACTTCACCCTAGCATAAAACATAACTTCTATTAATTTAGCATAATTGGTTTCAAACCAGTCTTAATTAAAACTGGTGTGGACTTGCTTAACTCCATTGAAACCAAATTGAAATAAGATTGGAGCAGAATTGATTCCTTTCCGAAGCGAGCTAAAGCTGGGTAAGCTGGTTAAAGAATATCCACAAGGGTATTTGCGGTGGTTGAGCTAAAATGATTTACCGCAATCTCTAATTGAAGCAATTTCAGCTCGGATATAGGGAGGGTAAGCTAAGAGTTGGCGAGGCCAAGCATCCTTCCCACCCGAGTGCTTTCCCCAAGGCATCATGTTTCCAGCTCAGCCTGGAGAGTGATCTCCCTCAGCTCCTCTGGGAGCAACAGGGATAAACCCGGCGGCAGCCGGAGCTGGTCCGGGAGGCTCCGCTTGAGCGCCAGCGGCGTGGGAGTCGGCACTGCCAGATGGTGCTCGGCAAAACCCCGGGCAGCGACGTGGGAATCTGTGCGGTGTCTCCCCCCCGGCAGCCTTCCCCAGGATGTTTTGAATTTTAGCTTTTGCAAACACTGAGTGGCAAAGCCTCGCAGAGCAGGATAAAAATAGAGCCGTAAAAAAGGCAAATCCTCCCCTCCTCCTCCCAAAAAGCCAGCGCAGGGCGTAGCTGGAAACAGATGTGAATGTGTCGGCAGCTCAGCTGGGCTCTGGAAAACCTCCACTCTCTCCTCTCCAGAGCACAGGATGCTGCTGCTGCTGAGGAAATAAACCCATCAAAACTGTGATTGCACAGCCATGGGCTGTTCACAGCCTGTTTTTGCTAGGGCACACATGGATGCTTCTCCCCTTCCTACCTGACTGGAGCCATGGGTTTGCAATTCCTGAGACTTCAGCATCTTGCCACAAAGGACATCCCCAGGTGGGTTGGGGTATATATTTTGATGCCAAATGAGGCTTTTGTTGCCTCCTGAATCCTCCCACTTGATGCAGGCTCTGTACTCATGGCTGCCTTGGAGGAAGGCAGCAGGCAATGACAATCCTGATGGGTTTCCTAGGAAGGTTAGTAGCCCATTGCTGCCTCGTTTTTCTTTGTTAAGGTAAATCAATAAGCAAAAATGCGGCAGGGGTATAGCTCAGCCAATGTACAGGAGAAAAAAATACCCTGCAGAGCCACAAACCAGGAGCAGTTAAGCTTGGTGGTGAGCTTGGAGTGGGCTGAGGCTTCTGCATGGAAAGGTGAAGCATATGGAAGATAATTTGTAAGCAGGAAAGAGCAGCAACTGGGCTTTTTGGGCCATTTCCATGTCAATATTCATTCTGCTAGCTTCTTTTCACCTCGTTCCTCACCCCACCCTCCAAATTCCTCACACCATCCTGGGGAAACTGAGTCAGCCCAGCAAAGTAACTTCCCACAGGAGGCTTGGCTAGGAGTGATCTTATCTACAGCATCAACTTCTCCTTTGTCTACCCCTAAATCCCAGCTTTTATTCAGGAATCCCCAAACATTCGGGCCAGCCATGTGCAGTGACCACCTCAGGAGAGATGCATACCTGGAGGCACGAGGTGAGTTAAGGCTACATCTGCATAGTCTCTCCTGGGGCTTCCCACAGTATCCCAGCACTGGTACTG